GAAGGAAGGAAGGAAGGAAGGAAGGAAGGAAGGAAGGAAGGAAGGAATAGTGACTTATATACCACTTCACAGCCATCTCTGAGCAGTTTATAGATTCAATCTCTTGCACCCAACAATCTGGGTCCTCATTTTACCGACCTCAGAAGGACGGAAGGCTGAGCCAACCCTGAGAGTGCAATGTTCTTGTGATGCAATTGTTAACCATCCAGGTCATGGTTGTCCCAAAGGCAACTGGGCTTTCTTTGTTTTTCCTTGAAGAGGTTTCACTTCTCACCCAAGATACCTCCTCAATTCTGACTGAATGCTCTCTGAGTTATTGATTCTGTTCTGCACCCTTCAGTCAGAACTGAAGAAGCTTCTCGGATGAGAAGCGAAACCTCTTCAAGGAATAACAAAGAAAGCCCAGTTGCCTTTTGGAAAGAAAGAAAAAAAAGCACCTTTGAGACAAATTAATTAGGATCCAATTCTCTGTAAGCAGTTTCTTTTTTTAAAAAAAAAAAAGGCTAGTTTTTTTTGTTTGTTTGTTTGAAAAAAAACCAGAGGTGTGGATTCACATCCGGACTGTATTTTCGACTGGGCCAGCCTCTGTGGAAAAGCTTCTGGTTGTGAAATTGAGGACTATACACTGACCTGACCCCAGAAGAACATGCTTTGAGGTTCCTGGTATTGCAGAATATCCAGAGCTGTCTTCTTAACGATAACCGGGTTCAAAATCCGGAATCTCCTCGGCGCAATGGGAATTTTTGTAGCCACATTCTTCCAGAAGAAGAGGTGCATCCAGAACGGCTAAAGAACAACAAAAACAACTGTCAACTCATAAAATATTTCTAGGGTCTTTTTAGAGTTGCCAACAGAAAGGGAAAGAGGAGCAGTGCAGCCGCTTGCAAACTGAAACTGCATTCCATAAATGTTTTCAAAGATAGTAACTAGGTGACCGAAGTTTCTGCCACGCAAAATTCTAACTGGAGAGCATGATTGATGACTCTGGGCTATGGATGTGTCCCATTGGAGAATATGAATTACGATACACCCAGGGGGTGGGGGAAAACCAGGGTCAAGGGTGACAATGAATGAAGTGCCTCAGAGTCGGCTGCACTCAGGCAGTGCCGGACATGTTAACTCCCAATAAATCCTTTTGAAGTTTTGGAAGTTTGGCTCGAGACTCAGGATTCAATTGGGGTAACTGCCGGAATCCTGACAACTAAAGCAAATTATGCCAAGGAAAAATTTAATCACAGGTAGTTAGTCCTCGGCTTACGATCAGAATGGAACCCCAACGTTTCTGTTGCTAAGTGAGACATTGGAGTAAGTGGGTTTTTATGGCCTATTGTGCTGCCGTTGTTAAGCAAATCACTGCAGTTCTTAAATTAGTAACACGGTTGTTAAGTGAATCGGGCTTCCCCATAGACGTTGCCTGTCAGACGGTTGCAAAGGGGGATCACGTGACACACACACACCCCCAGGACACTGCGACCCTTGTTAAGTATGAGTCAGTGGCCTAGCATCTGAATTTTGGTCACGGGACCATGGAAATGGTGAAAGGGTTGTAAGTGTGAAAAAACGCTCATAAGTTCTTTTTTTTTTTTTTTCCAGTTGCCTCCGTAGCTTCGGTTACTAAATGAACTGTTGTAAATTGGGGACTACCTGTACAGAGGGCAAAAACAAATTAATACTCAGTAATCTCACTTAGTGGCCACTGCTCAATCACTAAGCAATGCGATTGCTAATCCAAACACCCCCAGGACCATGCTAGAGTTACACTGTCACTTCCCATGGGGAATCGTTAAACGAATCGCACACAAAGTCACCAAGCAAGACATCGTGGAACCACAACTTAAAATTTTCAATCACACTGCAATTTTTACTTCCTATTTTTCAGAAGCTGGCTGGGAGGGGGTGTAACAGGGATCTGTTGTGGGCCCTTCAGCGGCTGACGGAACTGGCCGCAGAGTCAGACAGTAGTGAGGACGTTGGGGAAGAACCTGGGCCAGTCTTCACCTCCCACTTACCCCACGGAGGAGGCACTGAATTAAGTAACTTGTTGGACATATTTAAACAAAAAAAGTGCCATAAAAGTCAAATTAAAAAGCAATATACAACAGGGGGAAAATAACATAAAAATTGAGATTATGTGCCTATGAATGCATATAAGCCTTAAGGAGAAATACAAATATTTTTTCTAAAACATCTCTATTTAGTAGGAATTTGGTACATTTCTTATGGTTAGATTGATTTCTGTTGGATTGAGTTTTAGTTTTATTTCTAATTTTTCACTGTATACCACTTCAGAGTGGCCTGGTAATTACGTGGTGCCTATGCATTTAATGCAAATAGCAATTTATTTAATATCCACCTCAATATAACTTATACAATAATAATACATTAGGCGTATTACTTCCATCCAAGCCAAAAAATTTAGGCAAAACAGCGGCCAGCTAGGAAAAAAATAATTCAAAATGGAAACTTGCTGTAGTAAAAATATTTAACATAATTACTTACTAATGTTTCATTTTTCACCATTGCTTTTAGCCATGCAAAATCAACTGTTTTATATAATACTGCCACAAACAAGCTATTTTGAAAATATTCATTTGGAGATGAAGGGGCTCCTTCAGGATAGGTCATTCTTATTGTTGTTTTGTTGCCGACATCATTTGTGTATCCCTGAACAGGTGCATCATTTAACCTGTAAAACAAAATGCACAACGCAACTGGAGATATAACGTTAATACATGGATCTTTTTTTTTTTTAATTGCATGAGATAACAGAAGAACAGAATTGGAAGGGACTTTGGAGGTCATCTAGTCCAGTGGTCGCCAACCGGTGGGCCACGGCCCACTGGTGGTCTGCGAGAAAGTCTTGGTGTTCCGCAGAAGAAATGTTCCTCCCAAAGCAATTAATCCAGGCTGCATGGAAACATAAGGCTGCGCTGCCCACATGGCCCGCAGGAACCCTCCCCACCCACTCACGCCTTACTTGGCAAACTTGCCTGCTAAGTTGCTATTTTTCCTTTTTCCGACCATCAGCTGTTCTGCTGTGCCGGGAGATTTAGATTAGCCAGAAAGCAGAAAATCGTTGCATTTCTTGCTTTCTAGCTAATCTTTAGATCTTCGGCTATGCTTTTAAGCAGAGCCGAACCTCCCTTAGAACTGAAGCTTCTATTTTTCAGTGCAGACTCAGGTAGCTGATGGCAGAAACACAGATCTCTAAGGGAATCTGTGATTCTGTGAGCAATTCAATCTGCCTGCCAGCTTTGCCTGATTTTGGGTAAAAGTTGCTCATTTTTTTTTTAAATAAAAAATTCAATATTTACATAAATATTTATAATATTTACATACAAGCCATGCCCAGCCAGTCACATGACACCCACAAATTAGGCTATGCCCAAGAACCGGTTGTTATGAAATTTGAATCCCACCCCTGCCTCTGTGTGTTTGTGTGTGTGTGTGTGAGAGAGAGAGAGAGAGAGAGAGAGAATGATAGAGGGGCTCCTGCTTGAGAAGGGGGTTAGACTAGAAGACCTCCAAGCCCCCTTCCAACCCACAAATTAGGCCGTGCCCAAGAACCGGTTGTGTGTGTGTGTGTGTGTGTGTATGTGTGTGTGTGTGAGAGAGAGAGAGAGAGAGAGAGAGTGAGAGAGAGAGAGAGAGAGAGAGAGACGTTAGATCAGATCTCTCTCTCTCCCACCAATGTCAGCAAGCCACCATCAGTCAAAATTCATATTAGTGGTCCCCAGGATTTAAAATTATGAGTTTGGTGGTCCCTGAGGTCCAAAAGGTTGGCAACCCCTGATCTAGTCCAATCCCCTGCTTAGGCAGGAAGCCCTACACCACTTCAGACAAATGGTTATCCAGTGTCTTCTTAAAAACTTCCAGTGTTGGAGCATTTACAACTTCTGGAGGCCAGTTGCTCCACTGATTAATTGTTGTAACTGTTAGGAAATTCCTCCTTGGTTCAAGGTAGCTTCTTCCCATGGTTACACAGTAACCATGAAATTAAGATTCACTGTGAAACAGAACACTTTTCATTGGGAGCTGCCCAGAATTTTGCATTGGATAAGCGCCAATGTTAAGGTTTTTTTAAAAGGAAATAAAATGAAAGGCTTAGCCAAAGGGTAAATAAAAGTTTAACTGTCTTAATGGGAAACCTTCACCACCAGATTCAACAAAATTCACATGCTTCAGAAATTGGGGCTGGAGGTTTTTAAGAAAAGTCTGGACAACCATTTGTCCAGAATGAGAGAGGGGCTCCTGCTTGAGAAGGGGGTTAGACTAGAAGACCTCCAAGCCCCCTTCCAACTTTGTTATCCTGTCTGAAAGTGTCTCCTGCTTGAGCAGGGCAGGGTTGGACTAGAACAGTGGTCACCAACCAATGGGCCGGGGCCCACTGGTGGTCCGTGAGAAAATTTTGCTGGTCCGCAGAGAAATGTCCCCCCCCCCAAAGTAATTAATCCAGGCTGCGTGGGAACACAAGGCTGCGCCACCCATATGGCCCGCGGGAACACAAGGCTTGCATCGCTTGCATTGTGAACAACACGTAGTAGTGAGGGGAGGAGGGAAAGGGTAGAGGGGGGAACTTGCCCCACTCGCCCCACGTGCCTGGCCTGGCCACCGGGCTGCTTTTTCTTCTTCTGCTTTTGGCTGCACGCAAGGAAAGTAGCAAAAGTCTTTCTTGTTCTCCCCCAAACTCTGCCAGAAATGAGTCTTTGGGACCCTACAAGGCCTCCTGCTCCAAGAGGCTGCGCCGGCAAAGATTCATGTCTGGCAGAGTTTGGGGGAGAACAAGAAAGACTTCTGCGGCTTCTGCTGCTTTCCTTGCATGAAGCCAAAAGTCTCTCCTCTCTCTCTCCCCCTGAGAACGGAACTGGAGACAGTATCCAGCGATGCCAAATAAAGAACGATCGATCGGTAGGAAAACAGGGTGGGGGATTTTCCTGCAGATTTTTGGGGGGTCTCTGATCTGCGGGATTTAAAATGATGAGTTTGGTAGTCCCTGAGGTCCAAAAGATTGGCGACCCATGGACTAGAAGACCTCCAAGGCCCCTCCAACTCTCTCCTTCCGTTAATAGACACTCTTTCCATTTGTGACCTTAGACAAAAACCCAAGATGTACCTTATGACAATGTCGAAGTGGTTGAGGGTGGAGCCCAGCTCCAACCCCCGTAATACACTGCTGCTCCCCACAACCACGCAGCGTTTGCACCGTCTCGACTGCAGCTCTGCTGGGAGATCGAATTCAGGCAGAAGCTGGACCAGGCCTTGAAGCGTGTCAAAAAAATCCCGAAACCCGAAAGGGGGCGGGTATTGAAAGAGATTGGAGTGAGCATCGACGTCCTTTGTTATGAAGGGAAGGAGATCCGCATTGTATCTGTTCGGAAACAGCTCGCTCCACTTGGTCTTCGCAAAAGACGGTCGGCACTCGGCTTGCAAAATTCCCTCTGAGTATTTCTGAGCTCTCTAGAAAAAGCGAAACATACCGGCCAGTTATAAAACCATTTTTGTGTGTTTGTCAACTCATAAAACATTCCTATGCCTGTTTTAGTAGTTGCCAATAAAAAGGGGGGTGGGGAGAAGGAAGGAAATCTGGAAGAACAGTGCAGCAGTTTGAAAGCAAAAGTGCATTCCAACTCTTTATCTTTAAAATATTGTAACTAAACTACCAGAGCTTTTGCCCGGGAATATATTTAGTTGGAGAACATGATTGATGACACCCAGCCCATGAATGGGCTCAATTGGAGAATCTGCTTTATGAGACACCCAGCGGGGAGGGGGGAAACAGAGTCACAGGGGATTGTAAATGACGTAGGCCAGAGTTGGCTTGCTGTCAGGATTCCAGCAATCGCCCAAATTAAATCATGATTCTCAAGCCAAACTTCAAAAAACTTCAAAGGATTTATTAGAGGCGACTGTCATGCCCCTGTGGCGGCAAAAATGGTATTTGCTCAAAATTGGGAGGATAGAGAAATTCCTAGGGAAGAGGAAGTAATAGAGAAGATACTACAATGCGCTGAAATGGATAGGTTGACATTAGAACTGAAGGATAAAGACGAGTCAGAATGCCACAAAATATGGAATAAATTTTACCAATGGTGGGTGTGATGACCCAGGGTGGAATACAAAAACAACACAGGCACAAAAACAGGTGAAGTCCCTTTAATTCCTTCAACTTGGCTTCCAAGCTCCAAATATCCTTGACTGGAGACAAAAAATTCCCCCACAAACAGTTGCAAAAAGGAGGAAATGCCGTTTAAACTAAAAAATACCTATAAATTATAAATAGAAAGAACAACAAAAACCACACTGAAGCAATTAAAGGAACCAGGCAAGATAAGGGCTTGAAGAGGTCCACAGATATCAGAATACACACCGGGAAGGACGCCAAAGTCAGGTGAGAACGGACAGACTAGAAATATTTTCACACTTTGTTTCCAGCACAGTCTGTCCTTTTAACCAGTTCTCACAGCTGCAGCCCATGAAGGGGATCAAGGCCCTTCCCCCCACTGTAGACCATGCCACTCAAGTTTCTCCCTTATCCATTCCTCCGTGTGCCCTGGGATGAAGAGGGGGTGGGCCTGGGTCCTCCTCTGACTGCCCAGCCGGCCTCTGCCCTTCCCCAGCCTCCTCCACAACCTCCGGAGCTGCACTCCCACTCCCTGTCGGCTGTTCCTCCTCTCCCCCAGAGTCAGTCTCCAACAGGGGCATGACAGAAGGATATGGAAGAGAGTTTGCAAAATGGAATAAGGACTAAAGGTGAAATAGGAAGGATGTGAGCGATTACTTACCCGAGAGGTAATGGGAAAGAATTGAAAAGTATGAAGTCCAAATGTATATAAACGTATATAATTTCTTTCTGAATGTAAAAGTACTGACAAAAATGTATATCAAAGAAGACTACCACGTTCAATGTTTTTTAATGTTTATATTTAATAAAATTTATTTTAAAGAAATAAATAAAGAATGTGCAGTGGACACAACCCGGTGATGTGGCATACAATTTTTTTCATCTATTCTGTTTTTTTCCCCCAAAAGTTTTATTTTATTCTATATTTACAATAAACCTATCTTTCCTTTAAACAGTGTGTCGACTGGGTACATATATCTTGTGCTAACAATTGTAATTTAGTATTTTTTTCTTACCAATATAACAATAATCACATTTCCTTTATAAATTGTTATCTCTTACATCGATCACCTCTATATCAATATTCACTTATTTCTCTATATAGTCATCTGCTCAAGTTTTAACTTGTTTTATTTTCCAACCATTGTTAAAAAATGTATCCCGTATCGTAATAGTATTCAGTTTCTTCTTTTTCTTTAATCACCAATGATAATTTATTCATCTCTGCACATTATTCGGCTTTGGTGTCCAATCTTTAATGCACTTTTTAAAATGTATAATTTTATTTATGATTTTTTTTCTTTAACATCCATAAGTGCTTAGCAAACAGTGTATTATTAAATAATACAAATTATTAAATTAAAGGTTTAAGTTCTTTATCTCCTTTCGGCAAGACAATGCTTGTCCAATGAAGCCAAAATAACAATTTCCCCAAAGAAAGCAACATTAAGGGGGAAAAGGATATCTAACGATTTCATACTACCATATATATACTATTCGTGAATAACAACTGACTAAATTGTGTTTTGCTTATCTCCGGATGGGCTTATCTGGAAGAATATGCAGTAATACTTTTTTTAAAACATCCCTATACCTCCTACACATTTACTCATTGATACGGCATCCGGGGACAAGATCCCCCTCAAATTGTTAAGCAAAATACTATGAAAAATCAGAAATGACTAGATAGGTTTGCTGATATAGAGATGGCTAGAACATATAGGTAGGCCTGAGTGTGTGACCACAAGTGGACACAAAATTTCTTTTGCCGAGGAGAACAATTGTTAAGTGAGTTTTACTTTACTTCCTGGCCACAGTGGTTAAAAGAGGAGGAGGAGGGAGGGGAGAGGAAGAGGAGGAAAGGAAGAAAAGAAAAGAAAAGAAAAGAAAAGAAAAGAAAAGAAAAGAAAA